CAAATGGCGGCTCAGAACTGTAACTCTAGTTCTGGGGGATCCAAGGCCCTCTTTTGGCCTTCATGGCCACTAGGCACACAGACAAAACAAAACAAAACAAGCAAAACACCTATTCACATAAAGTAATAAAAAATTCCCACAGCACCGATGACTTGAGTGACTTAGGCAAAGGTTTTGTTCATAAAGTATACTCAAACTATGTGTAGTATGCCTTTCCTTCCCACCCCGTTCAACCAGGAAACTAGAAGCCTGCCTCAACTTAATACATATTAGTGGAAAACAGTCAGAATCCTTTAACTGGAAACCAACTACTTAAAGAGTGATTTGGATTGTGTATTATTAAAATATATTAGAACTCTTGAGTTGGACCAGGGACTATCTCAATGATGGTATAGATCCAGGATAGGGGAACCAAGTGGATATTCATGCCAATTTAGTTGTATTTTCTTTTTCTTCTTCCCTTTTTTCTTTTGGTTTTTCGAGGTAGGTTTCTCTGAGTAGCCCTGGCAGTCCTGGAACTAACTCTGTAGACCAGGCTGGCCTTGAACTCCCAAGTGCTGGGATTAAAGGTGTGTGCCACTACTGCCTAGCTCAATATAGTTGTATTTTCATCTTTGGTATTATTTTTAAAAAATATTTGAGAAAATCCTAAATCTTGGAAACTGCTTTGAACTTCACACTGAACATTTAATCTTGGGACCTGTGATTTTGGCAGGTCCTCTTGAACTAGAGTTGCCATTTGGTTGAAGTTTACTCTGGGAATGTTGTATCCAAGAATCACGTGGTGGTCACATCTGCCAGTGGAGTTGTCGGTGACATTTGTCGAGGACCTAACTGTAGTTGTTGCAGCTGTTGTCAATGCAGCCTTGGTTGTATCATTGGGTTTGTGGTTAACCGGTCCCCGGGTACTTCAGTTACGCGAGCCAACTGGGGACTTGCTGGCAGGGTGGTCATGTGCAGGGGCAGAGGTCTCTTGCTGCAGCTCTGGGGACTGTGACCCTCTGTACCTGTATATACCTGTGTGCTAGGGGTCGTGTTGCCCAGGACACAGGGAGAGGAAGTGAGATGTATTATGACCCTTCTGAGCAGGGGTGTGTGTGTGTGAAAAGTAAAGGGCTTTGAGTACTTGGTACCTTTGCGGTCTGCCCCTTGCTTCACACTGCCTCCTTAGATCTTTGAGACCAGGTGGCACAGCCTCCATTTGGCTCCTTTCCTGATTGCAGTTTCATACATGTGCTCTCTGCCTAAAAACATTCTTTCCACCCTACATGGATAACTTCTCCTCCTCTCTTAGGATCTGGTGGTTTGTTTGTTTTTTTTTTTTTTTCTTTTTTTTTTTTCTCCAGACCTTTTAAGTGTGCGTATGTAGACCAGGCTGGCCTTAACTTGAGAGCCTTTTGCCTCGGTTTTTAAGTGCTGGGACCTCAGGTGTGTGCAACGATGACGGGCCCTCAGGAACCATGCTTAGTAACTTTCACAGTCATCTTGGTTTTCTCCCATTTCCTCTTGGCTGGAGGGTCTCTCATAACTTGCGCCCTTCTTCGTCCTTTTATAATTTTGCATCTGTGTATTTCTTGGCCAAATTCCTTGAAGAGATGACCTGAGTGACTTAGGCAAAGTTCGTTTTTGTTCATAAAATATTCTCCATGTTTGTACCCCAGCATGCTCTCCTAATGAGCCTTGAATACCATTATTTCCCTTTGAGGTTACAGAAAGCAATTTTGTTAAGTGTCTGCAGTAAGCCTATCTGCCATTCATGTGTATTTTGGGGGGGTTTTGGTTGGCAAATTCTCTACCAGGCATTTTCTCTGGCACTGTTCACTTTCCAAGGACTGTTTCAGCTTGACACTGTGGTCTTGGAATGGGGCCAAACTACTGTAGAGCAGGGCCTGGGAGGTAAGTCCCTTGCTGGGATTGAGAGCAGGCCATTGGCTTTGAAATGTTCCTTGTCCAGGCAAACAAGATTTCCAGCTGTCATTGATAACTGTCCTGGGCTCCAGCCATGGACCATGCCCTTCCCAAGCTGACAGCTGAGAGTAGTAGCACTGATACAAGCTCAGATTTACATAAAGGGCATTTTTTTTTTTTTTTTTTTTTTTTTTTTTTTTTTGCTTCTTTAGGTTTTCTTACATAGTCCTGGATGGCCCAGAGCTCATGGTGTAGACCAAGCTGGTCTTGAACTTACTATGTATCCCATGCCAGTTCTGACTGTGATCTGTCTGCCTTACACCACCACGCTTGGCTCTAAAGGGATCACGGAGTGATTGCTACCTTTGCAAGTTTACCCCAGCAGTAATGAGAGCAGTCAGGGCTTGGAGGCAGGCTCATGTATTCACAGTGAGCTGTGTTCTATGCTCTAGGCACACAGGATGAAGCTTCTGCACAGAGGTGTGTCACATCGTGGTGAAGCTTGGTGGCAAAGTCAGTTGCAGAACTGTGCTAAGTGGTCAGGAGTTGGAGGGGAAGCCCCAGGGCCCCTCACAGTCAGGCTCATGAGAGCTTGACTGAAGTGCAGGACTGCCAAGTGATGACTTTACTCTGCCACATGCAACGTGAAGGTGGCAAATCTGTGTAAAAAATTGGTGGATAAGACGTGACAACATTCTCATTTACATACTACATAGTATGTATGCTTAAATGTACAATCTATATTTAAACACTGCAGTCAGGCCAAATGCTTACAAGATGGAGATGTCAGGCCATGCTGAGGAGCAAAGACTCAATAACGGTAGTATGGCACCAGATCAGTCGTGCCAGTAACAGGGAGTTCTGAAGCCACGGCACCCCTCTAGGTAGAACAGATCCTGCAGAAATGCTGAAGGGATTAGGCAGCCATCCTTCAGGCATGAAAGAGGAGGCATATATTACTAAATAGCATATGGTGTAGTACTGATGCCACATTGGGTAAAGTTCCTGTGTACCCAGGTCTGTGTCCAGATACTGATAAGCCCAGAGCAGTTTAACTTCCTGATTCTCGGGGATGTCTCATCTCTATAGTATTGAGGGAGGGTCCAAATTCGGTCCTCTGCACCAGTGTTTCAAAATAGTGTACATATGTGAGGCTCTGGCCTCATAGATCCTGGGCTCCACCTGGAACACCCAAAACGAAACAAGCACACGTTCACAGTACATGATTGCTTTCTGTAATAAGCTAATGTAAACTTACTTTGTTTTCCTTCCCACCACTGTAAACTTATTTTTAATAGACACCTTACAACACCTGGTTGCCAGAATTTAACAGGCTTGCTGGTCACTGAAAGGGTTACCAGTTTTTAAACTATTTTATGCAATGCTGTATTAGCAACCTCAGGCACAGACTACTATTTACTTATATTCCCTGGGGTAAATCCTAAGCATACATCACAGGGTATCTGTTAGCTGTATCTATCTTCCAATCCCATTCTCCCCAAACAAGCATCATTCAGTTACAGATTGCCAAACTGCCTCCCAAAACAACTACGTAAGCTTTGGCACCCAGCAGTAATTTATGGTCATCTTCATATATCCTTGATAAAAACTGAATTCTGCCAATACTTCTACCCTTTGTCAGTCTGACCCATCACCATTTGAGCTATTTCTATTAACCTTTAAGAATTACTAAGGCAAAAAATGTGGATGGTGGTAGCACATGCCTTCAGTCTCAGCAGTGGGGAGGCAGAGGTAGGTAGATCCTTATGAGATCGAGGCCAGCCGGTCTCCAGGGTGAGTTTCAGGACAGCCAAAGCTACAGAAAAAAGCCCTGTCTCGAAAAAAGAAAAAAGTGTATTTCTATGCTTATGTGTGTATCTCGGGATGAGGGGGCATGTGTGTAGGTGCCCATTGAGGCCAGAGAGGACTTTGGATCCCCTGGAGCTGGAGTTCCATGTAGTGGTGAGCTGCCACAAGTAGGTGCTGAGAACACAAATGGATCCTCTACAAGAACAGCGAGCGCTCTTAACCCATCTTCAGCTCCTCCTCCTCTAGTTTAACATGTCACGTTCATTGTGCACTACAATTCCTTACACACCTGGCCACTTATCTGTGTACTGTTCAATAGTTCTGTCTGCCTTTGCTGAAACTGCTCCGTTGTAGCTACCTAATATAGTTTAGTATCTGGCTGAAAGAAGCAAATCGTTAATCTTGAGGCTTTTCTTGGCAGTAGAGCAGAATGGCTGAGCTTATGGAGCTTATGCTCGACCTCTGGGCCCTTGAGCTGGTTTGTTTTCTTAAGCTTCTTGTTAGTAATGATGGCCCTTAAATCCCATGATAGTTTTCTTGGTAGGTTTCTTAGATGGCACCTGGTTAGGTCATTTTGGAATGAAAGTGATGCATCTATTTTCCCAGTTGAACTTTTTTAGGATCATTTTGAGAGTAAAACCACATTGGGGTCTTCGCTGGACTGCATTTATGTGGCAGGCAAGTTTTGGGAGTTAGAAGAGTTTTCATTTGAAGGCAAGTGCCAATCTCCACTGACTCAAGGTTTTATCTTTTTTTTTTTTTTTTCCAGTGGGGTCTCACATAGCCCAGGCTGGTTTCCAACTTTCTATATAGCTAAGGATGATCTTGAATTTCTGTTTAGTAATTTACTTTCTGACCATAAACTTCTGATCATCGTTCATCACTCTCATGAATACAGGAATTACACACTTGTGCCACCACATTCAGTTTCTTCATTGCTGGTGATCAAACCCAGGACTTTATTTTCACTAGGCAACTATCAACTGAACCACATCCTGGGATAGCTCATGTCCCCATTATTTTCTAAAGGAATTATTAGTACTATAAGGGAGTTATTAATATTAGTATTATGAAAAGGTGATTGCTTTTTATTTTGGGTTGGGGAGTCTTACTAAAATGCCTAGGCTGGCCTTGAACTTGAGATTCTCCTGCCATTGCATCCTAAGTATCTGGGGTTATGGGAATGTACCACTTCTGGTTTGGAAATTAATTTTCATATGTTTATTTTGCCCCCAACATAACTGTAATTGTTAAGTAGGAAATAATCCCTCTCTCACCCACACTGGCCACGAGAAGTCTCTCAACTCCAGCAGCAGGGCAGATTTCCATAAACAAAGTGCTACATGAGCTTGCAATCACTTTTCATATGTCCATGCACTGCAGGGATTGTGTCCACGTGTGCTTCAGGTCCCCAGGGTTCAGCACTCTGCTCCCATCCCAGGAGAACGTTATCAGTGGTTCATCATGTTGTACTCCTGCTGTTTTGTGGGATGGGGCAGCCCTTGCTAGGAGGGGGAGAACAAGGCAATGACTAAGCCAGTTTCTGGCTTCATCAGGTTGACAAGTCTCATTTGCAGCAGACAATGAAGTCATCAATGTTAAGAGTAAATTGGGTTTCCCTAATTATATCTTGAATGGAGGCTTTAGAGAAGGCAAAACACAGTAAAAATTCAGCTGGAAAAATATTCCAGGAGCCATCTTGGATAACTCCACAACGTAATATTGCGTTTTCCTCCACACTGCAGACCAGCGTCAGCACCCAGGGCTGTGTCAATGATCATTCAGCAAAGGCACCTGCTGTGGGCTGGGGAAGAACGCCTGTCTGAGCTCCTGTGGGTTCCTCGGTGTTACAAGGGATGCTTTCCTCTACTTTGCAGGGCTCAGAGGTAGAACATTTACCTTTAGTTTGGTTCCCAGCACCACACACGCACACTAGCCACAGTGCTTCCACCAGACTGCTAGCCCTGCGCCAACATTTGCACTTTCACATATATATTGAAACCACTCCATTGTGCTCTTGTTCCTAGAATTCCCCAAGTCACTCTCTTGTGGAGCTTGCAAGGCCCAGGATAAAGTATCAGCTCATCATGAAGGTCATCTGTGTTTGTCACTACTTCCTTTTTGTTGTTCTCTAAAGAAACATTTTTGTTTTGAGACAGGGTTTCTTGTAGCACAGGCATTATGTACCCAAGAATACCCTGAATTTATCCCCTGCCTCCTCGTCCCAAGTGCTGGCCTTATAGGTCTGTGCTATCACATCTGGCTTTTTGTGATACTTTCAGTATGCAGTTAAAGACAGCCTTAAATTCATGGCAATCTTCCTACCAAAGTGCAGGGATTACACATGTGCTATTATGTGCAGAGTTACCAATTTCCATCTCTTAGGAGCCTATTAGACCAGGAGACCCTTGAGGTGGTGCCCTTTTTTATTTTATTTAGTCTTTGTGAGCCCATAGAAATTACAGTCAAAATGGGGCCACAGAAATGTAGACTATATGGTTAAAGTGCAAGGCAGTGCAGGGCAGTGCAGAGCTTTAGTTAAAGCACTCTGGAAGTGGACAGATGTCATTGAGTTTAGGGCCATCCAGGGCTACCTGATGAGATCCTGTTTTAACCAAAAAAAAATAAAATAAAAATAAAAACAAAAACAAAAAACAACAATATGGCAGACAGATGGAAAGAAGGGGTACAGATTACTCACCTGAGAGCAGTGGTTTGGACCTTTCAGCTAACATGGAAGCAGAGCAGGAAGGTGGGCAAACAGTTTAAATCCCGGATCCGGACGGAATCCTGGAACAGAGACAGGTGGAATATGTCTTGTTACAGCACTAGGGAACAAAGCCTGGCCTTTAACAGGTGAATGCAAATAAATGTTCTGCCTCTGAGAGACACTCCTAGGTCTGGACAGTCCTCCTCTTTCTTGAACTCCAAGATAAAATAAAGCACCATGCTGTGGCTGCTACTCTCATCCACAGGAGCTCCAAAGGATCTGGGAACACTCAGTTACGAAATTGTGTGTAAGCCCTTGCCCAGGGGGCAGTGACAGTAACAACCGCCCAGAAGGGAGGCGCTTTCGTTACTAGGTATCAGCTGGTATGTAACAAATCACTTCAGTTCTCCTATGACATTGAAAACAACCATTATCTCCCAAATGACGGCAACTCAGTATCTCTGATTCTGTAGGCTCAGGAGCTAGCTTATTTGGGTAATTCTGCTCTAGGCCTCACATGAGTTTGCAGTTAGCATTGTTGGTCAAGGCTGGAGTCATCTGAAACTTGTCCTGGGTGACTGACTGTAGCTCTAAGGCTCTTGGAGTGCTCTTGTGTACATGGTGGCAGGCTTCCCTGAGTCTGCAACACCAAGGGCAAAGAGCTGTGATCTATCTAACTATAGGAGCCACAGTAATCATACCTGGAATCCCAGGAGTTGGAGGCTGAAGCAGAGGGATTGCTAAGCCAGCCTGTGCTACTGAGTGGGATTCTATCTTCAAAAAGCAAAATAGCCGGGCATGGTGACACATACCCTCAGGACACAGAGTTAGGTGAATCTCTGAATTTGAGGCCAGTCTGGTCTTCAGTGAGTTCCAGGACAGCGAGGACTACACAGAGAAACCCTGTCTCAAAAAACAACAGAAAAGGCAAAACAATAACATAAGCAGCCCCAAACAACAAAATCACTTAAAGTGCCCCCCCCCCCATCATTATAGAGGAAAGGGCTTAAATATGATCAAAAGGATGTATGGTAATTCTAAACATCTTTTATTCTAGCATTAAGAGAGATTAAAAACTGGAATGAGCCTTTAATGAAGTAGTTTCTACCAGAAAACCTTAATCAGGTAGCTGTCATTTCCCACAATTTTGATAAAAACTGGCTTAAATCTCCCTTTAGGGCCATTCTAAGGGGCCCTACAATGCTAACCAAAGTGGGAAGAGGGATTTATTACTAAAGATGTTCGTCCACTATTGACTGATATTAATGAAAATTTTACTTTTCCATCATAAAGGAGCATACATTCTAGATTTGGAAAATGTAAAGGAAAAATGATCATATTCACGATGATATCACTATTATCAAACTGCCACCTTAATATAAATGTTCTATTTTGGTTTTGAGATGAAAAACTTTTTAAATTAAAATGTAATGTTTTGTATGAAAAAATTACCAGTAAACTTCCTGATCTTACACAACCTAGAGATAACTACTGTAAACATTTTGGTAATGTAATTTTAATTACCCTTCCCAGAGTCATGGGAGACTGAACAGTAGAATTTAAGAGATGGTTAATGGCACTTGAATTCTGAGTTAAGTCATCCATAACGTAGGCAGATTTGACAACACAATGACAATGGGAATGCCATGAAGTCTCTACTTAGCACTTGTATCGATCTGTTTGGGTAAGATCTTGTCTTAGTCCCCATCTGTCTGTCTGTCTCCCTCTCTCCCCCACAGCACCCCTATGAGTCAGTTCCAGAAACTGTTGGAGAGCACTCAGTAGGGAGTCATCCCTCAGACTTTATACAACAAAGGAACTATTGAGATTGGCTTATATACCAATAGTTTGGTTGCCTACTACATGCCAGAGACTATGGCTGGTATTGGGGATGCAGGAAACAAATCCAAACAGCACCGAATGCAGTTACCAAGCAAAAGTCACACAAATAAATGCAATATGTGAAGGGGTGGTAGAGCTCCACATTAGCTGATCATCTGCACAGCTGAAGCTGAACAATTGTGATCTCATCTATTCTTTAGAGATGGGGTCTCCCTGTGTTATCCAGGCTGTTCTCAAACTTCTGGATTCAAGTGCTTCTCCTGCCTCAGCCTCCCAAATAAGCAAGTATGCACCACTCTGTCTAGATCACCCTCTGAATTTTTCCTGTACCCTGTTGTACAATGACAGTGTTGTGCTACTGAAGTTTTGTAACTTGTTCAAGGCCACACAGCTGAAGATAAGCTACAGAATTTCAAACTCAGGCCCACTGGAGTCCAGAACACCAGTGTTTTTCAACTAAAAAAAAATCCCCCACAAAAAACCCCTTATATATAATCTTGGTGTTCTGCCTGCATATATGTCTGTACAGCCTATGAGATAGTTGTGAGCTACCGTTTAGGCTCTAAGAACTGGACCCAGATTCTCTGTAAGAGAACTTAGTGCTCTGCTCCAGCCCAGAACTGGTGCTAATATATCACACTGAGGGTCAGGGACTCTTTGTCCTTTTGTGTGTCTCTGGTGTCTGTTGTTTCAGTTATTCTTACTTGTGTACTTTGTTCATTAATGTAAAAAGAATGACTCATCCCCAAAATGGCAGGGTTGAACAGCAGTTCTGTTTATCTTAGTAAGCCCATAGCACCAATGTTAACTTTCAAAGGTGACTTGTAATAAAAGTACTGTGATAAAAACAACTTAAAAGCACACTAAAGCAGAGCTTGGATGTGCCTGCTGCTTCTGGCAATAAACACTTGTGATTATTAACTTGGAAAAAAAAAAAAAACACCACCTCCAAAGTCTCTTGAGGCTTAATAATCAAATTTAACTTTCAAATATTTCTCCTCTCCTTTCTCTTGTAGAGTAAATCTCATTGTGTATTGACTGGGCTTCACACACATTATGTAGCCCAGTTTGGCTCTGAGTTCAAAACCTTCCTGCTTTCACCTCCCAACTGATGAAATTAGACATGAGCTGCCTCACCCATTTCCAGTTCCCTTATACAGTTCTTCCTTATGCTTAACAATGACACTATCATTAGTTTGATTTTACTAGGGTAGGGATCTTGAAATATTCACATGTGGATTCTTCCCACAGCCTGACTCACTTGTGAGACGTAGACAGTGCTTGCTGAGACAAGCTAATGGAGTCGCCAGTGTCTGTTAGCCTTTGTCAGCTCTAAGAAGTGAACAAAGAAATTGTAGCTTGAAGCACACATTTAGAAACGCCTTATACTTCTCTGGGCCAGAAATCCAAATACTGAGTGGGTTCCAGTAGTTCAATGCTTCAACCTGAGGCTGAAATCAAGGTTTGTATTTTCCCTTTGTGGAGACTCTTGTTTCTTAGTTCAGTTCCAATGGGTTGAATGACTAAGGTCCCTAATTCCCTTTTGCTGTTCGCAGTTTTCTTAGTCCAGAGGCTGTTACGGTTCTTTGCTTTCTGCTGCTTCAAAGCCAGCAATACTGAATTGGGTTGTTTCATGTCTCCAAAACACCTATGCTTTCAGGGACCCGTGCAGTACAGTGGCTCATTCAGACAGAGTCTAGGACAATCTTCCTATGGTCCTAAATTTGATCTGCAAATCTCCCTTTTCCAGTGAACAGAATGGAGTTCTGGCTAGAGTAGTGTTCATGGATGAAGAGTTGGATACTTTTGGGTAGGAACTGCTTTCCACAGTGTCCATACTCTAACCACGAATATTCAGTCAGATCTGGTGGCACAGATAGGGGTTGGGGCAGAGTGACTGACTTGTCAAGCCAGCCTTCGTGACTTACTAAGAATCTGTCACAAGCTAAAAAGGGCTTGGAAGGTAGATTAGTGGAAAAACATCCAACACACATACAGTCCTGAGCTCAATTCCCAGCACAGCAACACAAAGCCTGCATTTTAGAGTGGATCATGCCTATTTAATTCTCCCAATGTGTGTGTGTTTTGGAGATATGGAGCAAGTTGCAAGATCTGAAGCAAGTTTCATTATCCTCTCAGAGGTGACTGTTTCAGGTGCACACTGAAAAAATATAAACAACTAAAGGCCAGGGGTAGTGGGGAGTGTGTTTTAATCCCTGGCATATTAATTGCAGACAGAGGAAAAAGAATAGTAGCCTGTCTGAGGCCAACCTGTCTATATTGTAAGATTTTTGTTTCAAAATGAAAAAATAAAGGGTACTAGGACATAGCCCAGTGATTGTGTGAGGCCCTCATTTCTATCCCCAGCACTACCACCCCCCCCAACAAAAATCCTAATATATACCTTTAATCCCAGCATTCAGAAGGCAGTAGATCTCTGTGAGTTCAGGGATAACCTAGTCTACATTGTGAGTTCCAGGACAGCCACAAGTACATAGTGAGATCCTATCTCAAAAAACAAAACCTAAAATGTCAAAACCAGTAACATTTTAGAAGTTATTCCTTCTCTCCCTGTTATGATAAAATCAGAAGGGGTGGTGGTGGCGTAAAAATGTCTAAATTTCACCTATAGTCTATTCACTATAGACTTTTGCTTACTGGATTTGCGTCTTGGGTAAAAGGACTGCTGAGGTGGAAGGGTTAGACTGCTCGGTGATGGCTTTGTCTCAGCACTGGCTGCACATGTTGCTAACACCAGAGAACATAGGGTGTTTCCTCACCCACAGAAACCTTTCAAAGACTGTAAAACCCAGCTCTTTACAGTTTCAAAAAAGGCTCACTAATCCAGTTCAAGACTGACTGTAGACCTTAGTCCAACAAAGAAGTAAAACCACTGTATGTTCTGGGTGCTCCAAATCTCATTCCATCTAACACTGCAATCAAGGCTGAGAGGCTCCATTGCTCACTGTCTGTGAGCCTGTAATAACAGCTATCATTCTATGCCAGAACCACATTAACATGAACCTAAAAATATCAGGATCCTCCACCTTCTGTCTCAATCTTCTAGATACTCCATGCTAATTTGTACCCATCAATGTTGCAGGGTACTAATGCTAACAGGGATCAAACTGCGGCTCAGTGGGGTTGAGAGGCATCAGGGAGTGACATCAGGACATTACTCTCTCTAGGGTATTCCCTCTAAAAATACACTCAAGTGCATTTTGATTTAAATGGATGGCCCTTAAACCTTTACCTACCACCAGATCACCAAATTCACCTGGCAGCAATTCGGCTGTGGACTGCAGGTGCACCCTCTAACTACAAAGCGGCATGAAAGTACAAGAGGAAATGGGTAACCGTCTAAGGCAGTCAGCCGTGCAATAACCGTTTTACTGATATGAGTGTTTCTTTGCTTATGACTACGCGCCAGTTGAGTCATTTAGGGGTAGGCCAAAAGGGAAAGTCCTGCTTCTTGTCACCCATCATACGTGCAGATGAAAGCTGTTTATTTAGGGGGGGTGCCAAAAGTGGAAGCGGGTAGCGGACTACCAACTCCGGATCTTCACCCTCACTGGACCCCCCCCTAGTACCCAAAAAGCATGGAACGGGTTAACCACGGCCAGAGGGAGTCCAGCCACCGCCCCTTCCCAGCAACACCTCCCAGAAACCCTCAGGCCTCCGATAGTTCCCGAACCTCGCGAGACCCCGCCCCAACCCTTCCTGACCAACTTCCCGCCCCCCCTTTTTTCTTTTTACCGAGCTCGAGCTCAGCGGGGTACGGAAGAGAGTGGGCGGAAAATACGGTCCCGGGGCACGCCGGGAAATGTGGTCCAAGCCCTTCAGGCAGCCATTTTCTTCCGGAGCGGGAGAGGCTAAGGCTCCAGTAAGGACTACAAATCCCAGCCGTCCTTTCGGTTTGTTTTTGTTCAAAAAAAAAAAAAAAACCCACACTCCCCCTCCTCACTCTTCTTTCTCACACACACGCGGGCACACACATACACACACATATCCACGGCAGACACGCACGCATCCGAGCGTCGAAGGGGAAGCCGCGTCTCGCCATCCCGGCACGCCACTAGTCCGGTCTCGGTTTCCCTGCAGCGCGGGAAAGCGGAGGCCGGAGCCGTGACCTCTGACCCCGTGGTTATGCGGAGCCGCCGCATTCCTTAGCCATCGCGGGGGTGCTGCCGCCGCCGCTGCCACCGTGGGCGACTGACGCAGCGCGGGCGCGTGGAGCCTCCGCCCCTCCCCCACCGCCGCCCTCGCGCCGGGTCTCGCGCCAGCCGGTCCCGGTGCGCCCGCCCTCCCCGGCCGCGCCCGAGTCCTCGCACGCGCCGCCGCCACGC